TCTCCCAAAGAGTTCAGCCCTAATAAATGGCTGCTGGTTCTATTAATATATTTTGAAAGTGTACATTTTTAAAAAAAAAAAGTGCCTGGAAAATGATGGCTAGATATTGTTTTCCAATTACCGGTAAATGTTTGGTTTTTCGTGCAATGAACTCGTTGTTTATATTGAATTAGATCACTTTAAAAGCTTAAACTAATGAGAATTCCTTGTGCTTTGAATACTTGTTCAAGAGTAGGCTGTAGCGCAGGAATGTAGAACATTAAACCCCCATTTCATTTCAAAAGATAATATTTAGTTTGATAAACTAATCTATACTATAATACCCTTGTGCTATTATGCATTCTAAATTATAGTTGGTACATATCTGACATTTTGGTTTATTTTGGTACTTCATGAATTGGGTTTCTTTTTAGGTCATTCTGAAGGATTTTGCCTCTAATTCTTACATATTGTTTGTCTGTGTTAGAATACTGTAGTAGTATCTTTTGGGGCAGATATTGCTATTTGAATCATTTTATTAACTGTTATAATTAATAAACTGACAAAAGATCATTGCTAAAACAACTAATTGTATACTGGAAACCATTTGTCTTTTAAATTGGTAACTGCATATAATATTGATGTGATGATTTTTCATGTCTGAACTCACATAATATAAATATCTATTTATAAATCCAACTTTTAAAAGCAAGGATTCATAAGCCACTCTAGCTTTAATTTATCACAGCAAAGGTCATAAAACAATGGATAATGAGCCAAGGCAGTCCAGTTTTACCATGGCAAAGACTCATAAGAAATGGTTTACCAAATGTCATATCACAATAACAATGTCATATAACAATAACAAACTTCATATCTAAAGGTATAAACAAGTAATACTAGCTCATGAATAATTAAATCAAATATTATTCACACAATATAAACAAGACCCCTGGTTAGACTTTAATGCATACCTGAATGACAATAGAATCTTATGAGGTGAAAAATCCACCCACTAAATCAAGCTTGACCAAGAAAATAAACTGTCTATACAAAAGCAGCAAGTAAAAAGATCAGTTAATAGAATGGTAAATACCTGGAACTTCCAGGAACCATGAAGGTTAACTTAAGATTCTAACTGATACTACACATGGTGCTATCATCCTGATAGTCTTTTATTACTACTGACAAGTGTTTACAGGCCAAATTAAGGTTTAAGAACTGTTTCTGGTTTAACGAATTCCTGACATTAAATGCTATACCATATCTTAAGGGTGTGATGATTATGAACCCATATTTCAAAGTCAAAGGAAGTAGATACAAAAATGAATCCTTTTTATTTACATATCACAGAATTATAAAAAAAACCTTATTATTCATTTTCAGAAAATATATTCATTGTTAATGTAAATACATTCAATATTTTCTTATCAAAGCAATAAAATGGCCCTGCTGGATTCAACCTAATTGCACTTGGGCATTCCATAAAATTTTCAGATCAAAGGAAGGTTTAATTAAAAATTTGAAAACTTATTTTAAAACTATTTGTGTGGGGTATAAGGTCATGTAATGTAACAGCTACAGGAACAAATGGATGAAAATTCTATGTACTAATTTTATTTAATTTCTTGTTCTTTATGTTAAATAAATTATGAACTAATAGTGCACCAAATTTATTACTTTAAAAACTCCTATAATTAAAACTAATTAACATGCATTCACAGATTGAGAGCTTAACAAGGCATGGGAAATTTGAAATGAAAAAGTCAAAACTGACAATAAGTAGCCTTTTACCAACTACCGTAAATGGATCAAAATACAGGTGACTTACTTGCTGTATTGTCTACTTGAATGAGATTGTGAAATTATGCACCATAATTATGTAGTAAAGTTTTACCTGCATTATATATATCCATGGCTGTGACGACTTATAAAACTTTAAATGCTGTGTTTTACAATCTTGGTTTGGTAGCCAACTTTTAAAGAATGATACCTCCAAACATCTATAGTTATGCTAATTATAATCTTTTCAATCAACACTTGTTATAAAGGGGAAAAAGTGTTTTTACAAAGTTAACTGTCTCTGAAAACTGAGTTTTGTGATTATGTAAATGTGAGTAAAGATGATTTTAAGGTTGAGTGAAACTCAATGACTGATAGCTACATCATGTTTTAGCAGATTATATCAGGTACTTTGAATAATTACAAAAACATCATCCCCTTAACACCAATAAATACAACTAGCCATTTGAGTAAAACTCATGAATCGTGCAACCATTTCAGCTGAGAAATCCTGACCTACACTCAAATCTAATCTGTCAAGTTTACACACTGTCACTTTTAATCATTGCATAAACTAACATTCTCTAACATCAAATGGACATTCTATTAAAACACCTTTTGTCATGACAAGCAACAAACATACTCAGTCTAGGTAACTATTTTAAATTAGGGTATATGGGAATTGACTGGCTTATTTGCTAGTGTTTAGACTTTCATCTATAAAGTTTGGATTGCTTAAGGTTTACATTTATTTCAATTAAACATATATTATCCAAGTGCTAAATCTGCCAATTGCAGGTCTTTCTTTAGACCTGAAATGTTATGTTTTAATTAGACATTAATTAGCTTATCCAGAGCATAATGAAGTCTTGATGTCATCGCTAGTCTGCAATATTTACTAGATTACAACCCGGTCTGATGCTGCTGATTATATCAAAAAGTGGATATTCGAGACTATGTTTTTTATCGTATCGACTTTAGTAATGATTATCGAGGCTAGACCTAAAATTCAATCGCTAAATTTTCAGTACCGGATGGATCAATTTGACTGAAATTTTCAGCAAATTCCTTTTACATTATCTAGTTTTTAACTATTATAGTGAGAACTGCCAGCTCTTTATCTAATCTCCCATAATGTATCTTTAATCAAATCCAAACCATTCAGGATGGTTTTCAGTGATCACAACTAATGAAAGAGTGACTTTAATTTAGTGTACAATTATCCAAAGTTCTTCCAAAAAAAATCATTCACTTAACATCCAAGCAGGCAGATTTTGAATGTTTCTGGTTAAAACAAAATAAAATATCTGAAAGTTTTTGCTCTGTTGATATCAAACGATGCAGGAAACTGTAATACTGTTTGTTTTTCCTTCTTGGCCTAATAATTTTCAGGTTAACGATGAAGGAAAAAAAGTTTGCCAGCATCCATTGGAGAAAGATGTATATCTATGGCGGAATAAATTGAGAAAGGATGTACTCATCAACTTGTTGGAGCTATGCCAGGTAGAAATATGATCCAAGTTAGAACCTGGTCCTACCTGTCTGCTAAATATCTCCTTTTGGTACAACTTATAATAGTACATATAATAATTCAATAGGCCACTACAAGTTATTCTACAATATGTGTTTACATTTCTAAAACATATTCATCATTATTATCTTTGATATAAACCATATACCTTAAGGTCATAGGTTGTGAAGTATATGTATATTAATAACAAAATAGATTAAAGACAGCATGGTTGCTTAGAAATGAAGTATTCATTATCTTTAATAATCTAAATGTTTACAAGAGGCCATAACAAACAACATAGCAAGTCTGCATCATTAAATGACAAATTCAATAAAACAAAACTTGCAAATGCCTTGCCAGTCTATAAACAAAAATTAACATCGTTTTTAAACATTAATATGCTAGGATGAGGACTCAACAAACAGACCCTATTGGCTAACCTATCTGACATATTATAGAGGGCAAGAGCAATATCTTGACTACCACAACTATGAGTTGACCTTGGATAATTCTGGGAGCTGACATGTGATAGACATCTTTTAAGGTATCATATCAACAATTTTAACCTAATGGTTTCAATCACAGATAAATTATGTGAAAGAACTATAACATTTTCCCAGGTCATTAACCATTGGTTTATGTTTAGTAATTAACTGTAGTCCCCTTTTAATGGCCACTGTTTTAGCTGGTAAATCAGGCACTGGAAAAAACCGTTGTACCACCCCTTCCACCCTTTACCTTGGTGCCCTTAGCACATGCATGCTTATTTTGCTTAATGATTAATCCATGGCTCCATAAAATCTAGACTAATCATGTACTTGGACATAAAAATATTATTCTATTCTTTATTTTAATTAAAACATTGTCTTGTACTAAGAGAATTCATCATAAAAACATAATGGCCGCCAGTAAGCTGCCGCTTGATATACAATGAAAACAAGTTTGACACCTAAATGGAGATATCATGACACAATGTCTAATAAAACGTGTTGTGGAGTTTCAGTAGAGGAAAAGAAGAAATAACAATGCTATTTGGCAAATTGACAAATGTGTAACAGTAATAACAACAATATGATTATACTATAATATTTATTGTATAACAGTTATTGTTTTTGGAAACCAGAGTGTATATGGTCACTGTCCAATGGGGCTGATGTAATACATAACATGGCATGCAAATGCATAAGAAATAAAAGTTGCTTGATAAATAAAGATTTAAATAAATAATAGGTTGTCAACAAACTTTTATTTGAAACTGAAAAAAAGCTGCCTCTTGCAGCTTATCGTAGGCAAGCTTAAACATAGAATAAATACAAAAACTATTTGGGCACAGATGGAGTAAATGGGTAGAACTTCTTGAATTTTAGAGAGGTTACTGAAGATGAGTGGGATTTTATGAAAGTTCCATGGATAACATTAACCAAGAAACATCAAGTGGGATCCCATGGTAACCATCTATTTCAAATAGTTGATACTCACCACAAAGATATAGTCTTCAGGTAGGCATAGGATTCCCCAACCCAACATTGCTTTAAGCTCTTGGTCAGACAATTGACGTTCGGATACATGCTCTTAAGCCACAATGACTTTGGACTACCAATATGAATTCGCTTCAGCAAGAGCGTCTTCTGTGCTAAATTATATGAAATTCCGTACTACCATGGTTTGTGTCCATCAATGTCATAATAATCTGGACTATGTAACAGATTATGAAAACGAAACTTACCATTGAATGCATCGTCTAATTCTTGTTTGGAGAAAACCAGATTGTAATCAGAGATAGCACAGGTATGAAACTGACAGCCCCACATTACTTCTCTCTGTCCCGTTCTCATCTTTTTATGATAGCACTTAATTAAAATATCACCTCTTAATGGAATACCAGGAGAAATGGATATACATACTTTCTGCATATTATCAGAAACATTGCTGAAAGAGAACAGAAATATTTTTTAAGAAATAGATTACCGGTACATTGATTATGAAAATTCAAATGAACTAACATTTGATAAATTATCTCTGATTCCAGTATATCATTTTCAAATCGTAAAGCTCTTTATGGAGAAAAATAACTTTTTAAAATATTTTCACACATCTGAATTTTCAATGGAATACAAGAAAACGTTTTGAATATTTTCCATTTTGTTTCATTTCTGATCTACGGTTACATGTATCTGGCTCATCCTAAAGTTTTCGTATTTTTCAATTCGAATACAGTTATTCTTGTCATGTTTAACTGAAGAAATGTAAAGAACAATTATTGCTTATTTTTCTAACAAGATCTTTCCCACCTGGCGGTCAACTTATAATTTTGTTCAGAATTATTGCAATTACTTAATCAGTCAACTTATAATTTGTTCAGAATTATTGCAATTACCCAATTTAATTTATTATTGTCATAATCATAAATGGTATTTCATTTTGTTTAAGTATCACATAATTGTTTTGGCAAGAAAAATTCCATCTTCAGTAAACAGAACGGATATATTTGCAAACTTTCTGCACTGAATGAAAAGAATTAAAAGCTTATAGAAAATACACTCTGCACTTTAAGGTATAAAAACTTTGATTTATGTGTGTAATCTTTAATCATGTATGTTTATTTCAATGCTGTATTTTATCAATCTCTTTTGATGGGGTCTTATCAGTAGGTGGGTGGAGGACGCACCTTATGGCACAAGGCTGACTCAATTACCATGGCAACCAGAATGTGTCTAATATTATTTACAGGTATCATGGGGAAGAAAAAAAAGAAATATGGCAATTAAAAGATTTAACCCAAATGGCAATTAAATGGGCTTCTTTGGGGAGCATTTATTCTGATCTAATACTTAGTATAAATACATTGTTTTTGACATCTGTACAGATTTGTTTATATCAAGAAGAAAGCCTACAACTAATACGCATGTAACAAGCTGTAATATGATACAGCTAGCTTCTGAAATCTGTCATCCTGTCTAAAATTAGATTTCTGCTCCTCCACTTGTTTATAGATAATAAACGGGAGCATGTAGGTAATAAGATAATAATATATATAGACCTACAAATGTAGCTTGGGCTTTTTAAAGGGGCTTTACAAATTTATTGAAGAAAGGGCTTTCTTAATAGAAAATATAGAAGTACAGGGTAGTAATTGTAAATGTGAAAAGGAACAAATATGATAAAATAAAATATAATACATAATAACAAGGTGGAGAAGTTATTTACCAGTATGTTGAATAGAATATTTCCTAATTCATGTCATCATTCAGGAAGAACATCTGATATATACATATATAATTGGCAATTTATTAAAGATTAGCTAATATGTTTTCCTTTAAATTGTTTTTTTTATAGTAAAAATTTTAGAATTTCACGTCTTTCAGACAGTTGTTTACATTATTGTTTATTTCTGACAGCCAACACAGGTGTATCTAGGAAAGATTGATTATTTTTGCGAAAACATATCTGGTGTATTTTACCTCCCAAATTGAAAACCTTAACCTTAATTATATACAGTCTTTAATAAATTGACGAGAAAAAAACCACTATTTTTATGTCTATTTAGAGAGAATACATCTGTCATGACTTCAAGTTATTTTTACGAAACGAAATAATAATCTTAAATTGTTAGCCAAGCTCATAAGATGGCAAACCACAAAGACGTAATTATTATAAAACTGACGCAATTTAAAACCAAATTCACAAGTGGTACTGTAATTACATGAATTTTCTGAATCTATTCCAAAAAGGCAACACAGTGTCCTTGAAAAATCTGGTAAAGTGTGTTATTTACTCTTTTTTTTTTAAAAAACATGTAATAATATGCAATTTAGAGGGTGAAGTGTTCTGTTACTATGACAACCCAGTGTATTAGATATAAACATAATGTACAGAAGAAACAAGGTGGTAATCGCTTCATGTGAACTTTTAAATACATTTGAATTATGGCATTGATAACACTTTGTGAGTAAAACATTACCAAGCTCAGATCTGATAATCATATTTGTCATATTTCTATAGACAATAACTCCTCTCAACACCATTCCAAGCATGCCACACAAAATACTATGGGAGTTTTCATCCATATCTATCAAGTGTAAAATGCTTTCTCCAAGAATTTTTTATTTAATCATCATAACATCATTTTTTGCCCTATACAACAATCTCTTTAATGCAACAACATATCAATTTTTTTTTTTATAAGACTTGATTCCATAAAGAATAATTCATTTCTATCCACAAACATCTAGCGCAAGGCAGAATCTAACATATGTTTGTTTTATTTTTAATTGTTCAGATTACTATCTAGTATCTAAGTCCTTATTTTTCACAATTCTGCCTGATGCATTGGGGTTTTAAGAAATTTGAATTACTTATGTAACAATGATATATTGGGAGCATGCCCTGAAATAAGCGGCCGGAACATTGACAGGCCGAATTGCCTTTTGTCCACATGATTGTTCGACCAAGTTTTTGTCAAAAATAATAATTTCCATTCCCAAAAACAAGACGTATATTTGAGTCATTCGTTAATGTTTATACTCGAAAATCCATTCCCCAAAACGCTGCATATGTCATGAAGTAATCAGTTTTTATTTCAATATATCAGATAAATACTAGACAATACACACACTGTTTGTGATCGCACATGGTAATATATTATGATGACTGTTACTAAAAATAGATGGTGCCTATGTATGATTGGTTAATTTAACTGTACACTAAAGTAGAACTTTCACGAGATGCAAGAAATTATGAGAGATGGCATAAACAAAATTTCCAAATAAATAATGTTGAAAGAAAAATTTATTTTGATGCAACTTTTCTATCGGTTACGATTATATTTTGAATGGGGTAATGTGTTTAAATATACGTTATACAAGCTATATATATATATATTTAGAAATGTCGACAAGTATTTGTATTGGAATACCGTAAGTAGTTCTAGATGATAGCAGTTATTTCAAGGCTTAATTGTGAGTTTTATACTTACTATATTCCAGATGTAAAGATAGGTTGCATCCCTTGGTATACTTTTATAAATGGCCGACATCCACCTCTCGTGTCAAAGTTGGGAACACCATGAATAACAATATGATGCATGAATAGGGGATTACTGTTGATTTTGATTGCACCCGATAATAAGCCAGCAAAATAATTTACATATCTGAAATAATAAAGCATTAATACAGGTTATATAATTTGTGATTTTTTTAAATTTCTAAAAATAATTTTGAGAAAGCAAAACAAATTCATTAATCATAGATGTGATATAATCTAATCCTAGTCACATTTTTTTCATGATCATCAATAATCACTGGCCGATAGTTGACCGGAAACTTCTTTCTTCATAGCATCAATGTGTGCATTTACAGTTATGATTCTTCCAGAATGAATGAAATGGGGTTTTCATGTCCTACTGATCTGCACCAACCAGAGTAATGAAGATAGGCATATACTATGAGGGAAATTTGTCTAGACAGCCATTGAATTCCAACTATCAAGAGTTTTTTTTACATGCATGCCAATATGTGCATGGATTCGATTATCGAAGATCATGCATATAACATTAGTACTAATGATTGTATACTGTAGCATTCTCAGAACCATATTGTCCCTACTAATGTATTATGGAATAACTAATTCATTAAATTTCTAATTTAATGTTTTAATTGATTATTACGTTATTTTTTAAATTTCTTACCTTCGTTGAGATGGTTGTGGTAGACCTCCTAATTTATCATCATAAAATCTTTTCATAGCAAATCTATCTAACGCACCATCAGCACTATAATAATAAAACATAACAACAGTGTTTATTTAACAAATTAAAATCTAAAAATTGATTGGATTCATTACTTATAACTTGTTCTTTAATAGAAATCCTACAATGAAACATCAGGACTAATTTTGCAAGAAAGAGGCAGGTTGCTAGTTACTTCCCCTTATTTCAGAACCCATAAGTGTAGTTCATGTTATCTAGTCCCCTTTTATATCATTATCTTTTTTTACTTTTAGAGCAGTGCCAGGGACAAGAATAGCATTTATGTCAAAAGGAGAATATTTGGTGATCTGATCCCAGATTATTGTCTGATGCTAATATTTGCAGTCATCCCCCTTTATCCTGCCATATCTCCAATGAATGCAATATTTTTAAAAGTATGTTTTAATGTGTATGTAAGGCAACATATCTGACAAAACACTCTTGTATTGGATTGCAAATAAGTATTTCTTTGGTTGGAAATCAATGACGGTACCAGGCTCATATCAAAAGTAAGCATCACTTTTTAATAGCTAACCAAATAATGCCTTATGTTAAGTTTTTATGAAACATCATCATCAATACATACCTTGCACAAATACTACTATAATGCATATATGCTGCGATGACATTTGCTATTCTACCCTTGCCGCCTTTACAGTGAATAATAACAACATGTTGTGGATCAGAACTTAACCAGGAGTCCATGGATTTACATATACTACAAAGACGTTCAAGGGGAGGTGCCAGATGTTCGGGCCAACCATATTCTTTTACCTGAAAAAAAAAAAAAAAAAAAAAGTGAAATTTTTGTTTGTGCAGTTAGTGTTGTATTGTCTATTACAATCTGTGCAATTTTTCCATTTGTGATTTATTCAAGATTCAAACTTTCACCAAATGGGCCTTTCTTTCCCATTTGATCAATATGAGTTACTAACCAGTTTTAATAATTCAGTCCCATAGTCTAGTACCTCGCTGTTAAAGATACATCATAGGGAGATATTAATTTATTTAAACACCTATTAACAGTGTACCAGTAATTATGTTCTGTTTGTCATATTATGAAATACTTACATGTGGATTTAATTTTGTCAGATCTGGTCTTTTATCAGATACATTTATAATCTGAAATATAATAATACAATTTTTAATTTAAAGCCTTTCAAAGCCTCAATGAAAACCATGTAATTATTCAGAATCAGACTGACATTCTAAGACAGAAAAAGATATCATGAAACATTAGATGGCAAAATTTATGCTAGGATTAAATGATTTTAATAATTTCTAGCCCAATATGCTTTTCGATAAGACTATGTCAAAACATGTGCAGATATAAATCTACATTTTCCTTTTAGTCTGGAACATTGTGCTTTTAATAAAAAGTAATAACGCCTGAACTTTTAACATAATCAGTTCTTTATTAACATATTTTTAAAAATATTCCATTTTGGCTTATTATTTTTCCATTAATTAAATAAACACTGATTAAAAATTTTTAATCCCAGTTTATTCCATCTGCAGCGAATCTCTTCATGGTTAGAAACTAAATATATTGAAATTATGCAAAATAAAGAACGATATCTACTCACATAATAATTATCCTGGTGTTTTGTTTTTAACATTTTAGTTACATCTTTTAAGTTATATCGGTAAGTCATATCATTTCCATCTGATACAAAACACATGGCTGAAAGAGAGAAAAGGTGTAATTAAAATATCTATAAATGCAAAAAAAAATAATGTGAATGTTCGAGGCAGTTTACACCCATTTGACACTGATCAGGTCACTTTGGGACTAAGATTTGTTATATTTTTGATCTAGGAACTGGACCCCAAGCACCACTAACTTGTTGCTGTTCTTATTGTTCTTGGGGAAAATGCTCTCTGAAAAAAGTCTAAGGCTCCACCTATTCAATTACAATCAGCATGGAACTTGACTTGCTTGTTTGATTACAAGATGGTGGCAATGACGTCATGCTGTTTCCTGGTCCAGAGGAAGCTTGTTCATGTTTTTTTTTTATTTTGATGATTTACATACATGTAGGGATCTTTTAAAGTGTAAGAAAAGCAGAGTACCCAGACAAAACCTACAATCTTAGGCAGATGACCCTACTCCTTATAACATCCAGCTTTGACACTGACAATTATCCCAGATTTAGCAGATGATCGTATAAGGAATTGTCAGGTGATCTTCTGACGATCAGCCTAACGTGGATGTACTCAAAGACCCATTTTGTGACTAGCAGTAGTTTTTGCTAAATTCATGATTATGATGTACTGGTAACACATCTTAAAGGGTAAAGAATATATTACTTACAAATGATTCTTTCCGTTATATACGTGACATCCAGGACCATCTGGTCTTCTCCAGGTGGATCCTGTGTCCTGTAAAACAATGCAATCATAACAGTTATTCAGCAATAAACCATGAAGAGAACATGTAATAAAGGACAACATGAAATTGCTTTTTTATGTGGGAAGTTCTAACATAACTAGATTAATGGCACAAATTCAAAAACCTATATATTATTTCACTGAAAAACGATAATAAAACAAAATAATAACGTAACGATGTCACTATGCATACACATGACTTAGGGACTGACACAAATATAACTTAGAGTGACAAAGCTGATTACCCACCAAACATGAAAACTGACCATTTGTATTATAGAACTTTATTAGTTGCAAGAGAATAGGATAACAGTTTCTAAGAGTCTATCACCAGGTTTATTCGCTATAGGTCCTTTAATATCAAATCGTGATTTTGATAGTAATAAAAGAATGCAGTCGTATCATTTCAAATTTGGGTTTAGGTGTTGGTGTCTCAAATTGTAATGGACTTTTTCCAATTAATAATCTTTACAGTTATCAAATAAATGATAACTGCATTAAGAATATTACCTCAAGTGCACTATATATTTGCCTTGCGACAATATGTCTTTACCAACTCATAAATATAGTGTTAATATAACAGGATCTCTTCATGTAATGAACTGAATTTGGGCCTAGGGCAATGTATCAAAATATCTTCGAGAAAAGGTATAAAATCTATATGTAAATTCAATCGAGTGTATCATTTACTACTAAAATCTATTCTCAAGAGAAATAATATTTTCATTTGATGTCTGCTGGACTCAAGCTTGAAAGTTTCAATAGATATAACAGTGTATATAGGAATTAGAATGAAAATGGGGTTAAGATATAAACTGATATGGGCATGCCCTAAGAAATTTTCAGCCAGTTGACTGCTTTGCTAAATGCACCATGAAAAATGTCTTATACAAAGCTAATTCAGTAACTTAAACTACCTATTTAAATTACTTAATGTAAAGGGATATCATTATATTCTTGTGTAGGAAAATATTAGTACAATATTTTCCGTGTATCATACTTTGAAAGACATTTTTAAAGGTATTATGACGGATTAGTTTCTAAAATATTTAGAGCATTAAGAAATGTTTGATTTGTTGACTCATCCTTTAACAGTTGTATTAAGGACCCATATTTCATGAAGATTGAAAATAAAAGGAAACCATAAATGATAACGTTACAGTTTACAGTTGTTCAAAAATAAAGTTTTTACACATAATGAAAAAACCCAAACCCCTCTGGCAGAAGGGGCCTACCCAGTATGCACTTAAAACATTAAATAATTGCATAAATTAATGTCTAAGGTAATTGTGTTACACTTTAATCTTTTAACTGCATAAATTTAGGCATTTAGGTCTGCCAGAATCATCACTTGAATCAGATTATGAGATTCTTACCTATCTCTAGGCTTGTAACAGGTAGAAAATGAATAAGAATTTATTCAATATATCCATTCCCAAGCAATATTATATGATCCAATCAAGGAACTCTCTGTATTATATTGAGTCATAAACTTTTTTATCTCCCTCCCCTCCCCTGCCCCACCATCTCCCCCCCCCCCCCTCCACCAAAACAGATATTTTTTAAATATTTTCATTCTATAATTTAGTTACCCTTACTCCCTATCCCTACACCCAGGTTCCATCATTACAGTCCCGTTCCATAATACATCCTATAATATATCATAGGGTGTAATTATGTTTAAAAATTATTTGGAAATACACATTTTCTATTTATTAGCTCAATTAGACAAAAAAAATGAGTCTTACCGTGTAATCATATCCCTGAGACTGGACATGATACCTCGTGAGCCTTGTGAGTTGACTGGAGGCTGAAAAATACAGAGAAGTTTGTCATAAAAATATCAATTGTGGACTAAGTCCTTAATCAAGACAGGCCAGGATGTATTTCATGCACTGACTATATGTTCCATACATGCTAATAACATTACTAATAATGACCATCTTTGTCCATATTTATACATTAAAACAATTGTGCAAGTCATTCCTTAAATAATCATGTGTGGTGGTGTGATGATGACAATCAATACTTATGAAATTCTGGTATTAAATACTTATTGTTTCATAGGCTCGTATTTCTAACATTAAAGTACAATTACTTGGGGTTTGTTTTTTTTTAATGTAATCAGTTAAATATTTAGAATTACTATTTGAAATCAGTCCATTTTTTGAGAACTTGATTACTTTTAACCCTATTATCAAGTGACAATACTCAATCAATGGGAGTAGTCCATTTACCAGTAGGTTATTATAGAATCAGGTGGGGCTCTCAGTCAACAGGAGTAGGCTAACCTAGGTAGGTTATTGAAACAAGTGCCAATTGATACATTCAACTAACAGCTTTTTTTTTCTAGATACACTGGCCTACAGGGTTGGTTCCTATTTTCAAATTAAAAGTTGAAAATCTTATCTATTAGTATACGATTTGTCTTTCACCCTCCAAACCCTCTCTGGATTCACTCGAGTGTATGTTCCAGGAGCAGATCTGCAGGAATTTAGAAGTGTGCAGTCCCCTTTGTCTACCAAATTAATCCTTGTGCACCCCATCCCTAATTCAAAATTACTGTATCTGCACTTGATACTACACAATAAAGTGCTTTGAAGTTGACAGAGAAAATCTGCTATGTCTAAATTGTTTATCAATCACAAATGAATTTTGAGTCATTATAGCATAATCTATTCTTAGATCCAAAGCTCTAACATGAATTATTTTAGGATACAAATTTACTGTTACACTCTATACAATCATAGGTGTATAGGTGTATTGATACTGTGCCATCATTTCTATCACAAAGCTCATATTGGACCTGGTCCAAAAATGACAGGACTTATTTAAACAGTATTAGATTTGTCAATGATGTCAGTCACATTCTAAGATCATTGATACTAACTTATTCAACACATTTGTATGATTTTTGTCCAAAGAGGAGATAATAATAAACTGTATTATCATATTTTTATAGAATTCTTTTGTGAATATCCAATACTGGGTTAGTAGAACTTTATGTTACCAGAGGTAGATTTAGGTCAAGAGAAAGATATATATGGGGTTTAATGTCCACAACTAGGTAATTTTTGGACTAACAATTCCCTTTGCATGTAGCTGTCTTTCGGGGGAGGGGGGGGGGGAGGAAACCGAAGGATCCAGAGAAAACGCAAGCAGTTTGGCAGGCAACCCTACTCATTGTCACACACAAGCTTGAGATCAAAAGGACACCACTTAACTCAATGACAGACCTTATGAGCTAAAATTTAAGTGTAACACCATTTGATCATCCCCAGGTCAAAGGAACAAATCTTATCTGCTCACTATGGGGTAGGTGGTAAAATGTCATTTATCCTTTACATTTGGTTTGATTTTTAAAAAAATGTTATCCGCTATGTTACAAATGTTTTAATAATTCAGTACCATCTTATTCATGTGATATTTTACAATTCTATTGTCCATCTTGATCAGTAAGGTCTTTATCAAAAATTCCTTTAGTTCATACGATCTTTTTTTCTTTTAAGACTCTCTTTTTAGGGAATAAGCTCCCACTTTTTATTATACAAAATGATACTATATCTCCTTTTTAAATCACATTTAAAACCCCATTTACTTTTATCAGCTGTTAATCTTTTTTGTGTATCTTTTTTCATCTTTTAAAGGTGGGGGTTGGGTAGTCTAGAGCGCTTTTGATCATACATAATGTATGTCATTGACTCAAATGGCCTGGTTTCAATACCAAGCTTGTACGTGACAAGGAGTACGGCCACCTACTCAACCTCGTGGGTCCTCCAGTTTCCACACTATGTGCAAACAAGTTATTGAAATACAATTTTACCATATGTTAGTCCTTAAATGACATAGTGTCACCTTGAAAAGTTTTAATTTATACATTTCATTTTTGTGTCATCTTTTAGAGTTTAAATTTCTACATTCTTATACATTCTTTTATAAATGTGTATGTTTGTATTGTAAAGCAACATCTGAACACTATTATGAATTATGTACTATATAAAACATAACATTTTAAAACTGCAGTGGCACCTTTTCTAGCTGTTCACCCAATTCGCATGTTTATCTGATATTTATAGGGTTATTTACTTATCAGTAAATTTGATTATCTTTTATGACTAGGATACTTACCTTTTTAGCTAACATCTAACAGGAAATTCAAGCAATTTTTTACGAGAACCTTATCAGAGTCAAAATTAATTTATTTCACTTCAATGATTTAGAAGTCAAAAGTAGTAACATGTTCATGTATTTAAAGATGCATTATGAAAGAGCTAAATCTGCCTATTGTAGGTCTTTTTTCTCACTTCATGTTATATAAATTATTGTTTAGACATTATTCACATGACAAGCCCACAATCAACTCTCTAGACCAAGATATTGAAAGGATTAGAACACTCACTCTATATAATAATTTAATTTTAAAAATAGATAAACAAGAATTTGTTCATTATCATAGCAATGGTAGTTAACAATCAAGACTATGCTTTATCTTGTCAAAACTTCCAACACTCAAAACTTTGCTCAGAATAAAGTTATCTAACTGAAATTTTCAATATATTCAATTTTCATTATCTATTATTGAACTATTATAGCAGTTCTTTATCTAAATCTTACGTAATGCATCTTTAATTGAGGAGGATACACAGAATTGAGGCATGTAGAATGTGGTCGTACTGTAGGCTTCATAAATATAGAAGAGACATATTGTATGACAAACAAAAACAGATTCAAATGAATCATTAAATGATTAATTATCTAAAATTGACATCCAAAATTATCCAAACATTGAATTGCTTAAAGTAAATTATATTTAACAACTTTTGTCCTCATTGGCTAAACACAGTCACAGTTGTCAGAAGGTTTATCAGGGGAAAAAAAACAGATCTGATTCGCCCAAGAAGAACATTCATGAAGCTATTTGTAAGCAACTGAATTGAGTTGAGCCAATTATAACCGATACACAGATAACTTTAAATTTCTCATCAATATGTCTCTTTTATAAACAAAGTTACAACATAAGGAGGGGTTAATTACTCACAGATCTTACAGGGTTGTAGTAGTTTTGTCTGTTTAATGTTTCATTGCTCTGTAAATAAATAATATCACAATATTCACTCACTATCACAGCACAAATACTCACTATCACAACTACAATACACCAATAAACAATACTCGGAGGGCAACCTAATAAAAACTGGATTTTTTCAAGCAGTATATTTGGTTGGTCAATCCATTAACCTAAAAAAATCATGTTCAATCAAACCATTTTCTGGGACTGTGACAACAGCATAATTGTAACTTTGAGCATGATTAAGCAGCTAAATGTTAAGTAGCACAGGGTTGATTGGTAGTTTGATTTGGATTCTACCAATCCCATCACTGAACATGACTTATAGCTGGAGTAAACAATCGAAAAACAAAATATTGGTATAATTTTGATTAGACTACTGGAAAGGGGTTATAAAAGAAATGCCCAGATCTCTATTAAATATTCCCTAAAAATGATTAAATTAACATGTATACTGGAATTTGGAATGGGTCCCTGTCCCTCAACCCCTGCTTAATGCAATTTGGAGTTAATATTAAAAACATTTCACAAATCTGTGAAAATCATTTGTTGGTGTACTGTAGAATAATGATGGGATTCAACAATAAAATACATACATATACTGGTAATACAATACTAAAGCAATACAATATCAAATAATAAACATAAACATGTATAATATATATATACATAGGCGTACGGGGAAATTTTTGACTGGGGGGGGGGGGAGGCGGTGGTGGTTGGTGCCCAAAAAATGTAGTTAGGTTCTTAGTATGTTACATAATAATAATAAATTCGCTGTTAAATTGGACACATTCAAGAACGCAATATTATTTTATACAACTTTTACAAAGTACAATTGTGTGCCCAAATTTTCCCAGCATTTGGTGCCCAAAATGGGGGGGCGGCCGCCCCCAAGCCCCCCCAGCTTGTACACCTATGTATATATATATATGTTAGCTTTTTTTTCAGATCTTAAAATGCTCAACTGAATATAACTTTTCATTGATGTACCTATGTGCTTGTATAGAAGAATCAATTTGTATTATGTTTAAAAATAGTCAAAGACATATTTCCTGCGCGGTCTCAACCATAAATAGATAACTATTGATTGGGAATATATCCAAACCACCAAGAAAACATATCTGTGCTATGAAATATTATACCTTTCGATACACTTCAAGAGAAGCTATTTGACAATCTACAAATGTGGCATTACCATGCAATGTGTGAGTAACGAACTTATGTATTGTGGGTATAAGCAAATTTGGGTGCATAGTTTTATTTTTCGTTGCTATTCCACATATTAAATCTTGAGATAAATCTATAGAGGGTCAAACAAATGGCTTAATTAGGCTTGAGGGAACATATCTTTAAGTCAGACAGAAAATAATTAATTTATTAATTAAAACAAAACTTCATTTTGTTTTGTGTACTGTTATGTATTTAAATGATGAAGCGAATCAGTCACTGTAGGCAATAAAATCTTCAATCAATTAGCAAGCCCAAATACACTCACTGTACTGCACAGCATGCATAACCCTTTTCACTGAACCAAGAACATTGAGGGTTTACCCCATTAGCCCATAATGAGTGCCTATATCTCATTTCCACAGAAGCTAAGGTCAATTGACCTGATGACAGAAGTAATTAAAGGTAACAGAAGTAGGAGTCAGGAATAGCTGATGACTTAATGTAATGTCAATTATTTTCTACAATAAACAGATGTTTGTTCATAGGGACAATGTCATGACGACAAGTTACCTCATTAATGATATACAGATTGAGTTACCCTTTATAACATGAAGTGCTATGGTAATTGAACCAGGTATTACAGATTTTTATCTTCGCTTAATTTATTATTAATTAATTGTGGTTGATTATCACAAGCTTCAAATATTTAACAACAATATTTAACTTCTTAGAAACACCGAAAAACAACTGTACATATGCATAAATTTGAAAAATATGTAACTATGTTTATATATTTTGTACTATTTACTAGCTTGCTATTATTACTTTTTTAAGTGAAGCCATCATTTCAAATATTTACTTTTTATTTAAAACGAGATATTGTTATTCAATAGCCATGCCATCTATCACCTAATTGATGACCAATGGCTGGAGCAACAGCAAGCCTTTCTCTATGAAACTATTATTTCAATTCTTATATTAATCCGAAAAGACACTGTAACTTTAGTACATACAGTGAAAAGCAAGAAAAAATGCTTACATTTTAAAAATACCCCCAAAACCTGATTTCTGAACATTTGAATCAATTGCTGATCATTGCCAAATTAAATCAAATGCCAGATGTATTTTAATCCAATCTTGTCTACTTGCATTCATTTTCTTTTTTAGTAGCCCACCAATTATTATATGTTTTTAAAATTCTTTAAATTAAATGTTTGTTTGTTTAAAAATAATATATTTTATTGTAGTGATTTCAATCCTAAAAAATAATTAACATACCAAGATTCTGTTTTAGTTCCAATGAAAATAAATTGCATAGAGACTCTGAAGAACACAAACCAGTTTGACATATCTCCATAACCTAACCCTACTGATCTACAAGCCTAATTTTACATCTGCCAAAAGTGAAACCTTTCGTTCATACGCCATAATACAGGTTAAAAACATATATCAAAGCCATAATATTCAAAGAGAACAAACTTGATCTTCGGGTATCAAAAAGTTACACAGTTCAAATTAAAAGACAAACCTAACCCACATTAATTTACGATGTTAAAATCTAAAAGGTTGTCATCTTTACAAGGTTACCTAACTTGTAAAACGAGGTATAATTTTTAACTATCCTACGTTTATTAATCTTTCTACCTTTGATCGAAAAAGTGCTCTTGGAGTGTATGACTTCTGCCTTTTCATTTCTTCTAAATCTTCTAAATCCATTGCCCAATGAACAGTGGGCCGTTTGGCTGAAAATTTGTATGTGTTAAACACGGATGATTGATACCCTTTAAAAGGGTAATTGGAATCTGTTTGTGACCTCATTTTAGAAATTTTTGTAATAAAAAATAATCCCCACAAAAGTTCAATAGGTTCAATCCAGGATTATAGTTAATGTGTTTTATTCCTGATGGTTCAACAACATGATCCTTTTGTGAATCCAATTTAATCTTGATAATCCAAAAGAATCAGAAGAAACAAATAAATTTACGGCACTAGTTACGAAATTTAAAACTGAAGAGGCTATAAAGTTGCACAGCAATGGCCGCGCTGCCAGTTGTTTACATTAATCTAAATCCAGTGAATTGTGCACTTATTCCTAAAACAAGAGGTAGGAAACACTATGTGCCAAAAACTCCTGTATATCACAACAACCTGCCGAAGCCAAGAGAAGCGTTTTGAGTCATGTTACGAGAGAGTTATAGCCATGTGGTTCTAGAGGAATTTACAATCCTTGGGATGAAAGCCGTTTGTTGAAGAATTGGTAAAAGTCCAGGATCTTTTAATCAACTCGAAATTACTGGAAGCGAAATAATGGCCATTTGTCTTAATTTACCGAGATATCATCGATTTCATAACAACATAACCACTGGTACAGTTAGTCGCGTTTAAAATCTGCACAACACAAAACATCACAGAAAAAAAACGTGCTTACACCTGTTATCAAAACATCAGGATGTTGAATCTTGCTTAAATCTCAGAAACGGCACTCACTTAGTAAAAAAAATAAACAAGCATACTTTTATAAGTAAGTCCCGTTTTCTAATCGAGATTTTCCTCATGAAATGGGAGAATTCATTGATTGGTATGGAGTCAAGTCGTGAACATAAAACAATAGATCATGTTATCCAATTAATTAATCCTGTGATTGTGTCTTTGTACTTTATGACTTAATGAGAATGGCGGTGCCACCTTGGTTCTAATGGAAAAAGTTCTTCATTGATTTCCCATGATTACTTGATTACAACATATTCCAATTTTATTCCCATCATCAGACTAGATCACTGTCACAGTACACACATTAACAGTTTACAGAGGTCCATTCATCTAGGGCCTGCTTGATTCATTATAAAGACTATATGACACAATTCATCAACTTCCTTTTCAACAAATTGCATATCCAAAAATACTTGTTTTGTGTCAAATGTCAGATTTTTTTTTGATACATATCTTATAACTAAAAAGTTATCACAAACTTTGACATTTCAGATTGTGAAAAAACTTATAGAGTTCACGGAAAGGAGTGAGCTAAATTAACAGTTATTGCCCCACCCGTACTTAGGTCAACATTGAGGTATGAAGTTTCCTATCAAGGTAATCAAGTTGTATATAAAAATTCATGTTTGACAGTCTATTAATACCTACATGTACCTGATGGTTACACTTGAATAAACATTCACTTAAAACAGGCTGACAAAATCAACTGGATATTATTCCCAGCCATCAGAGCGCAGATTTATTATCTCCTCTTAACACATTCTTCATTCAATTATCATGTCATGTAATTTATTGGCCACTTCTGCTTCACTTCAAAAGGCTTCTTTTCTAATTATTCCCCTTTCATTAGAAACCGTACACTCACAATAAGATGTCCGCAATAACAGATCAACGAATAATATAATGGTCAGTGATCCAAATGACAACAAATATTATAGCTGTATTCATGTGGTAAGTTGACCACGGTCCAAGTTATTTTTTAATGACTTCTACAAGTTTTATACTTGTACTCCAGGTCGGCTGCTCACTGTAATGTGACAGAGATGAATGTGTTCCCAAGTTGCTCTACCATGTTATCGGAGTTGACATCCAGCACTTCAAACAAGATTGTCACTGTATTTTCGCAATCAACTGAAGGCTGACGGTGAAGCCCCCTGAGCCGAGATTGTCGTAAATATCACAGGGACGTAATTCTCTCTCTCATCCTGTTATTTTCAAAGACTCTGCCAACTTTCTTTGATTCAATGTCATCTATGATGAAATGATATTTCCATAATTGGGCTAAATAGCCACAAGCTGTTGGCAAAGTGATAATTTTCTTAACTCAAGGACGCAGGACAGACAGAATAATAAAA